AACTCCTTCCTGATGATTTCATTCACTGCAGAGGGGGGGGGAGAGAGCGAGCAGGTGTGAGTCGGAGCCGCCCCACCCAGCCTGGGCGACTTTCCCTGCGTCGGCCGCAGAGCGGCTTTTTGCTTTCAGACATTTATTTTGCGCTTGGCCCTCCTCCTCCGTGACCACTGGGGTTTCCGTGGCTATAGGGGCTACACCTGCGGGTGCTGCTGCCCCCTGGGACGCGCTCCCTGGCCCAGCGCCTGACCGTTTCCAACCCTCCAAAGCCCTCCTGGGTGGGGGTTCTAACCATCACCACCACGCACACCATTTTTGGGTTTTTTTTTTCTTTTTGGGTCACACCTGGCGATGCACAGGGGTCCTCCTGGCTCATGCACTCGGGAATACTCCTGGCGGGGCTCGGGGGACCCTGTGGGATGCTGGGGGTCAAACCTGGGTCTGCCATGTGCAAGGCAAATTCCCTACCCGCTGTGCTATTGCTCCAGCCCCTGTCTCTAACCTTTTTATTTGGGGGGGAGGGATGTCACACCTGACAAAGCTCAAGGGTTCCTCCTGGCTCTGCACTCAGGAATTACTCCTGGCGGGGCTCGGGGGACCCTATGGGATGCTGGGGATCGAACCCGGGACGGTCACGTGCAAGGCAAACTCCCTACCCTACTGTGCTATCACTCCAGCCCCACGCAGCTCCATTTCATGCTACGGATTCACGGGTGAAGATCTTGGTGGTAGAAACCATGCCCGGACTTCAAGACCTGGGCCCCTGTGTGCGCCAGGCCTGGGAGGTGAGGGGCTCGCCCAGAGGACCCCTGCCTCAGGTGAAGCCACAAACCGTCTGGTTTTCTAAAGGAGGAGCCTCAACCTGATGCTGTGCAAAGACCACTGGGCGGCCAGGCGGGGCCACCGGCCCCTGCGCCCAGGCTGGACTCTGCCCTCCTCGCCCCTGGCCAGCTCTCGGCCAGCTTGCCCGCCACTCTCCGCCTGGCATGTGGCTGACCAGGAGGGCCCCCCCGGGCATAGGCTGCGTCCCGAGAGACCGGAGTGGACGTGTTTGTCCCCCGGGGCTCTGGGAAGTCCTGGCCCTGCCCTGCGCCGGGGTCACGCTCTGACTCCTAGGGTAGGAGAGTGGAGACAGGACCCCCAGAGTGAGAGGGGAGCAACACGTAAGGGCTGCCCACGTGGTCGCCCGCGCCCCGGTTTCCTAAGGCCAGGCTGTGACTGGGCTGTTCACATGAGCCCCCGCATGGCCGTGTCAGCACGGGGGAGGGCGAGCTCAGGGCTGAGCCCCACTCTGCCACTTCCTCCTCCTGCCCCGGGCCTCGGTTTCCCCAGGAAGGGAGGGCGGCTGTGGTGCTCAGGGGCGCCCCCTGCAGGTGCAAGTGCAGGTGCAACTGGGAGCTGGTTTTTGGGTGGGGGGGTCCACACAGGAGCTGCTGGAGGCACGGCGGACCCCAAAGATGGAACGGCTGGAGTCCCCAGGAGCCCGCAGGCTGAGGGGAGCCGGTACCCCAGGAGCCCCAGGGCGGAATCTGCAGCACTTCCTGTTTGCTCAGCTGAGGAAACGCGGGACCATCCAGCAGGGACGCTTTGGGGTCCCTGGGTTTGCAAGCAGCTGTGGGCAGCAAGGCTGGCGCGGGGTGGGGGGCCCAGGGCTCGGGCACGGCACCCGGGGGCAGCTGAGGGTGGGGGACAAGCCTGCCCTGGTGGCTTCGGGGTGTGGTGAGGACGCCTTGAAGCTGCAGGCAGCTCCCAGGAGCTCCCCGACACACACACACCTCCCTGGAACCTCAGCGTGGGCTGCCCCCGGCTGGGAAGCAGAAAGTTCTAGAACTGAAAGGACAACCGGGGGCCAGCAACAGCTCGGCAGTCGCTCGGACCCGAGTTCAGCGGGGAGGGGGTGGTTTCTGCCCAGTCGCGTCACCCCGATTTGGACCCACCCGAGCCTCCCGCCTGCCTCATGTCCCTGGGGTGGGGGGTGGGGGGCCCAGGCTGTCACCACCTGCCCCTTGGCGAGCCTAAGGCCTCCCTGGCACTTTGGCCTGCACCCCCCCTGCTCCCCACCAGGGCGCCACCCCCACAGCAAGGTGCCGGCTGGGGACGTCTGCGGAGCCCCCCAGGCCCTTCCTGGAGTCCCAACCCAAGATCCTGGGCTCTGCCGGGGGAGGGGGGGAGGGGAGGGGGTGGAAGGGGCTCGCAAACCCGCGGGGTCCCGGGCAAGGCTCAGCCCACATGCAAGAGGAGGAGATGGGCTTGGCCCCCACTGGGGCCCTGTAGGGACCCCGACTCTACACCCCTGTCCCCGTATTCCCTCTTTCCAAAGAGCCCCCTAGTGCCGACACCCCATTCTGCAGCCCGGACCTTGCCACGTTCCTGCAGGCCCCCCCCCACCGGACCCCCAACTGATGTGGACCCCAAACCTGCCCCGCCCCCTGGTCCCCCTCACTGCTGGCCTGGAAGGGGGGGTCTTTTCTGCACAGGACCAGAGGCCAGTGCGGTGGCCCCTGTTCGCCCCCCCCCCAGACCCCCGGGCAGTGGTCCCGCTCTCCAGACCCGCTGGCAGAGGCGCCAGGGGCAGGACAGGGTCTGGGCTCAGACCCGAGCAAAGACTGTGCCCGGTGCTGAACCCCTGGGTCACCAGTGTCTGTGCAACTACGGCTACGCCGGTCTCAGAACAGGATCTGGGGGGGAGGGGACGGCCACCCGCACCCCGACCACAGCAGCCCCCGCCTCTGGCCCCCTGGAACTCGGAGGCGAGAAAGGAGGTAAGGGAACAAATGTGATAACCTCTCAGCGTCTGTGCTCAGACGAGAGTGCCCAGAAGGGGAGAGAGAGGGAGAGAGACAGAGACAGAGACAGAGAGAGACAGAGACAGAGAGAGGGAAAGTGCCTGCCATAAAGGCAGACGGAGGGCGGCGGGGTGGGGGGGCTGTTGGGAGGAAACCTGGGGACACTGGTGGTGGGAAACAGACCCTGGCGGAGGGGCGGGTGTTGGATCATTGTATGACTGAAACCCCATCACGAACAGCTTTGTAACAATGTATCTCACGGTGACTCAATTTAAATTTTTTTTTTTTAAATAAAGAACTCAGAGGTGAGTCCACGAAGCAGACGTTTCCCTGAGCCTCCACGACAGAAAACACCTTTTTCAACACCTCCGAGAGGCTCGTTCCCAGGGAACAGGACGGCAGAGAGGGCCACGACAGCGACCCCTGGGCATGGCGCAGGGCGGGGCCCCGGCAGCACCCGCCTCCTGGCAGGCCCAATGGAGGTTCTAGTTGCTGCGCCCACAAGTCCTGCCCCCAGCCAGAGGAGGTTTTAGGCCTGGCACCCCCTACTCTGCACCCCGCATGCCCCGTCTCCAAAGAAGCCCCCCACGCGGGTGTCAGCCTGGGTCCCCCGACGGCAGAGCTGGCCGTCACCTGCTGGGGCCTGCCTGGCCTTGGCCCTCCAGGGCTGTGGGTTGTGGTTGGGTCAGACCTGACCTCAGCCCGCGCTGTGGAGTTCCCGCTTCTCCACCACAACTGCTGAGCGGCTCCAGAGGGTCTCCAGACCCTTGGGGTCCCGGCAGAGGCCTCCCCGCCCTCCCTCCCCCAGGATGGTGAGGGGCTGCAATGAGCCGGCCGTCACCTGCCAGAGCTCAGGCAGGTTCTCGGGCTGGTGGGCCTGGGACCCGCCCCGCCCCCACCCGCGCCCCTCCAGCCCCGCTCCTGACTGAGTGAGGCCCCCTCCCCGCCTCCCACGGGCGAGGCTGGACGCGGGACAGGTGGGCCCAGGCCGGAGCCACGTCCCCTGGGCCTAGCCAGCTTTCTGCTCTGAAGTGCCGGGCCGGTGCCAGCAGCCAAGCGACCCCCAGCCCAGCCTGTCCCCAGAACCAGCCCCCCCCAGCATGCCTTGCTGCCTCTCGGCATCAGAACCGAACCCAGACCCTCCCTCCCGCATGCCGGGCGCTCCTGGGTCCCAGGGGGAGGGCCTGGGTCCGAGCCCGAGCCCAGAGCCAGGGCAGCGGGGGCTGCGCGCGCAGGAAGGACGCAGCGGGCAGGGGGGTCCTCGCACAGCCTCCCCCCCCCGTCTTTCTCCTCCTGGAGGCGTGGGGGCAGTGCCCAGCACGTGTGCTCGAAGTGTGGTGGAGAAGGTTCTAGAAGAAACTTCCCTGCCAACTAAGGAAGCCTCCCCCTTCCCGAAGGCCTCCTCATCCCTGGGGAGCTCGGGTGGGGTCTCAGGACCCCGAGAGGTGGCCCAGGCCTTCTGCATCCATCTGGCCTGTGAGCCCAGGACTCGGCCCGGCGACCAGGGGCCCGGTTAGGGAAAGAGCCAGCATTGGTACGGGCCCCTCCTGGGGGGAACACTCCCGGGGGCAGTGCTGGGGCGGGGGGTCCTGCCCCACGTGGACACCTCCTCTCCTGCACCCACGTTACAAAAAGTCGGGGGAGGGGTGAGCTCGCAGGCTCCACTCTGCAGAGTACTGGAGTATTGGGGGGCTCCAGGCCCCCGTATGGCTGGGAACGGAACTGTCCTCTGCGGGCGGGGAGGGGGCGTGAGGAGGGGGACGCAGGGGTGTCTGCAGGCGGGGAGGGGAGGCGTGAGACCAGGAGCTCGCCATTACGCACAGGGAGTCCCGAGGGGCACCCACAGCTTGGCGCCACCCCACTGAGACCAGGACCAGAAGCGACTCCCCAAGTGCCCCCCGGGCTCCCCCTTCCCCCAGCCGCAGACCCCCACCCGCACGGACCCAGGGAGACCACCGTGTCTTCCCACGCACGCGCAGCCAGTCGGGGGTCAGCATGCAACTCCCCTCCGACCCCCCAGCCCGGAGCCTGGCCTCACAGACTCGCGACACTGGGGGCTCCCCCCCACCCGGAAAGGGTGGACAGCGCCGTCAGTGAGGCCCGCTGGGGCAGCAAGGGGCATCCACAGGAAAAGGCGGCTTTTGGCATGAACGGGGACGAGGGGCCACAGCCTGGAGGGACGCGCAGCTGGGGACAGCGGGAGGGACAGGAGAGAGTATTACCTTTCACTCTGATTTCTCGGATCAAAGATCACTGTCACTCTGTTTCATAATATGTTTTGTATCCAGCTAAGGTGTGTGTCTATCAGCTCTGAAAAAGATTTGCAAAACCATTTTTGAGAAGAAAAAAAAAGTCACCTTTGACCTCTTTTACGCTTCCAACCGCCACTGTGGGAGCATCCTACCCTGGACACTCAGCACCCCGGCTGGCCTGGGCCCCAGCGTGGGACCGCCCGACCACACTTAGCCCCCAGAGCCCCTGACTCACTGAGCCCGGGGGCCCTGCACAGGAAGGGGGGGTCCTCCCAGAGTCGGGGAGGCCCCCTCGGCCACTGCAGGCTCACGCTCACTGCAGGTCACGCTGGCGGTCGGGGCCAGACTGACCTGCCAGCTCTTCCCCCCACCACTCACGGGGGCACCTGGGGCAGGGGGCTTGCAGATTCACTTTTTGGCACAGTTCCCCCTTTCCTTGACAAAATTCTCCCTTTCTAGTCCCCGCCACTAACATCAGAGCCACAGTGTCTGCGGTCCAGGCCGCGGCGGCTCTGTCTTGACTCTCAGTAAGTTCCTGAGACCCTGCAGGATGGAGAGAGGAAGAGTCCGTTTCCCCCTCCCCCCCCACCGCCCTCCTGCCAGGCTTCCAGAAGCTTCCTGGGGCTCACATCCTGTGGGAGTGACCTGCTGTGTCCCAGGCGAGCACTGCCAGGGGACCGGGATGCACAGGACAGCAGGGAGGGCATTTGCCTTACACACGGCGACCCAGGGTTCAATCCCCAGCCTCCCATAGGGTCTCCCAAGCACCGCCGGGAGTGATCCCTAGAGCACAGAGCCAGGAGTAGCCCCTGAGCATCGCCAGAAATGAGCCAAAAACAAACGAAAGGAAGGGGGAAGAGAGAGAAAAAGAGAGAAGGAAGGAAGGAAGGAAGGAAGGAAGGAAGGAAGGAAGGAAGGAAGGAAGGAAGGGCACAAGGTCCCTCTCGTTATCTTGCTCGAAGGTGTTGGGGTGGAGTGACCTCTGCCTTCCAGTGTGGGGTTCCAAAGAGGCCAGTGGGTGGGGCCACCCCCCCAGCCCAGGACACAGGACCAGTTCTTGGAGCACAAAGGCCCAGGCTTCCGAATGAAAGGGCCAGGGGCAGTGGACATCCAGGGTCGTGGGCCTCCGGGGCTGTGGGCCTCCCGGCTCAGGCCTGGCCAGTGCCTCACGCCTCCTGTGTCTGCTCCCTGCTGGCCTCCTCGGAGCAGAAATCTGCAGCCCAGCCCAGTGCTGGCCCTGAGGAGCCTCCCCTGCGTTCTGACCTGAGCAGCCAACTGCCCACTGGGCATTTCCAAGGCCACGAGGCCGAACCCCCCTGATCTTCCCTCACCCCGACACCCCCCAGTCCCCAAACTCGCTCTGTCTGTCCTCTTCTTCTTCAACAAGCTGCCTCCCTCCTGGCCAGCCGTGGCCAGGGCTCACACCTGTCATGTGACCAGCCTCAGGGCCTGAACTCCACCCACTGGCCCTCTCCTGCAAATTCATCTGTCTGCCTGTCTGTCCGTCCCTGGGCCCAGCCCAGGTCTCCACCTTGCAGGGGCCCTGATCTGGGGGACACGTCAGTGGTTGCTTCTTGAGAAAAAGCTTTCGCGATGCTGAAGAGGTGACAAACATTTCACCTCTCGGGGGCCAAGTGACAGCCATGGAACCCGGGTGGAACCTTGCGGGGCCCAGACCCACCTCCGAGGAAAATGCCAGGCGCCCCCACAGCACAGAACACCACGCCGCCCTCTCTACCTGTCCCGGTACATTTTCCAGGAACCTGCAACACTATACCCTGGCCAGCAGCACCCAGACAGACGCCCGCGCCCAGACGCCGCCTCCCCGACTCCCTGACTCGGTTGACTTCCTTCTGTGTAGATGCCTTGTGCCCACCTACCCAGCACTTGCTTTTTTTTTTTTTTTTTTTTGCTTTTTGGGTCACACCTGGCAAAGCTCAGGGGTTACTCCTGGCTCATGCACTCAGGAATTACTCCTGACGGTGCTCGGGGGACCATATGGGATGTTGGGAATCGAACCTGGGTCGGCCGTACTGGCTACGTGCCAGGCAAACGCCCTACCCGCTGTGCTATCGCTCCAGCCCCTACCCAGCACCTGCATCTGGGGCGCCCACGCGCCAGGAAGGCCTGACGAAACCCTCAGCCCCACACAGCGGCCACAAAGCCGGCACTGCAGAGCACACTGCAGTATTATTACTATTATTATTATTATTATTATTATTATTTTAAAGCCACAGAAGGGTGGGGAGTGACGCCCTTGTTACAACACTCGGTCGAGATCTGGGAAAGGAACCGTCCAAACCCACAAATGAGCCTGTGACCGCAAACGCGATGATAAAGTAAACAGCCCGTCGGGCGAGCCCGCTTCCTCTCGGGGGCCGGAGGAGCCCCCGACATCACAGCACCTGGCGGCACCTGCACCCACTTCCCGGGACAGGAGGCGGGGCAGGGCGGGAGGGGGCAGTGTGGGACAGGAGCAGGTGGGAATCAGGGGCAAGAGAGACATTTCTGCTGGGGCACGGGGGAGGGTTTCGGGCCACACCCGACGGTGCTCAGAACTCAGTCCCAGCGGCGGGGGCCCAGGGGACCATCTGGGCCCCGGGGATTAGGCCTGGGTTAAGGCGAGCACCTTAACTCCCGGGCTCACGCTCCAGCCCCGGGATATTTCTATTCAGGCCACCGCCCCCATCCCCACCTGCGGACTCGTGGAAGGAAGGAAACCCAGCCCCCCCTCCAGCCCCCCATGCAAGGCTGAGTCACATGAGCCACGTGACCTGGGCCCGTGACACCCATGGGGGTCTCCATTGCCGCCCATGCCTGGCTCGAACCCCGCATTGCCCAGCTGCTGTAAGGCAGTGCTGTGTGTCCCCTAGTCCAGAGCCTGGACCCCCGCGGCCTCCTGGAAGGAACCGCACAGATGAGCTTGGGGGGTGGCCCAGAAGCCCAGACAGCGGCTTCAGGAGCACTTTCCCCGGAGTTCACACGCCAACTTCAGAGCGGCGCCTCTCGGATGGACCGGCTCTGCGGGCGCCCCCACTTCCTGCCCCGGCCCCCCACCCCGGAAGCCGGCCCGGCCGCGTGGCTCCCCAACTCCAAGGCATCTTACCCGCAAGGCCCCGGGGCTTACTGGAAACAGCCTCGTCCCCACGGCCCCTGGCTCTCGGGATGAGTAAACGTGGCGGCTGAGGCGCCGTGGGGGAGGGGCGGCTGGGGACCGGCACCCTGCAGCCAAGAAGGGCCCAGAGGGGCCCCAGGCTCCAGGCACCCTAGGCCTGTCCCTCGGGAAACCTCCCCCGTCAGGCTGTGCCAACTGGAACATTCTACAGACAGCCAATCCTGATTCCACGGTTCCCAGGGTAGGGCACAGGGGGCCCTCATGGCCTTAACAGAGACCTCAGCTGGGAAGAGGGGACAGGGCGAGTTCCTGTGCAGGGGCGCGAGGAAGCCGCATACAGGGGGTGGTCACAGCCCCTCACTCCCCTGCTCCGCCCCTGGGCCCCTGGGCAGTGGCCGGACCGGGACGCCCGGGGTGGGGGGTCACAGCCCAGAAAGGCGGATCCTGTCCTGCTTGTTGTTAGAAACAGGAGTGACATAGACTCCGGACACTCGAGGGTTGCGGGGGGTGGACGGATACAACACAGACACCCCCTCCCAGCAGCCCACCTGGCTTGGGCCAGAGCAGACGCGACAGGGGCCAGGGGCCGTCAGCAGGGCACAGGGCGAGCGGTGTCCGCACGGGAGTGACCAGCACTTGTTTGGCCAGCGTGGCCGGGGAGAAGGGGCCCGGCGGGAAGGGGCTGCTGCCGGGGAGATGGGGGAGGGGCGGGCTGGGGGTCCCGGCAGGGGTGCTGCAACACAGGGCAGCTCTGGCCACTGTCTCCCCCCGGCCAGCGGCCTGTCCTCCCGGCACTGCCGACAGGTGGGGGAGTCGCTGGGGACGGCCCAGCGGTGATGTGACGACTCTGAGCTGTCACTGCCATGGGGCCGGGGGGCCGAGGGTGGTCCTGGGAGGCACCTACAGTACTGGAGGTGCTGTTGATGGCAGAAAAGGGGGCGAAGCAGCTACAGCCCCCGCCCTGGACCCCCGGGAGGCCCAATCTGACTGACAGAGGCCCTGGGCTGCGCAGCCCCCGAGCCAGACGCCGTCCGACGCTCAGAATACACCAAGGGGGCAGGCTGTGGGGCTTTGAGCAAAGGCCCACAGCAGGGGCCTGGGTGCTGGGGACACAGTGGCCCCTCAGCAGAACACTCTCTGTCTAAGCCCGCCCACAGCCGGGCCCCTGGGCTCCCTCCCCTGTGCTCTGAGTCACTCACTTCCTCTGTACACACCGCAGGGCCTTTGCACCTGCCACTTCTCTTCATTCCCTCTCTGTGAGGCGCCTCTGCTGAGATCTCTGCTCAGGGCACTGCCAAGCTGGCACAGGCCTCTGGGCGTCCCCCCCTCTCATGGGGCCTGCCCTTGGGAAGTGGGGGGAGGTCCCTGCGGACTGTGTTCTCAGGCAGGAAAGGCACTCGGAGCGCCGGGGCAGGGAGAGCTGGGAGGCCAGAGAGAGAGAGAGAGAGAGAGAGATAAAAGAGAGGAAAGGGGGCTGGAGCGATAGCACAGTGGGGAGGGTGTTTGCCTTGCACGCAGTCGACCTGGGTTCGATTCCCAGCATCCCATATGGTCCCCTGAGCACCGCCAGGAGTCATTCCTGAGTGCAGAGCCAGGAGTGACCCCTGAGCATTGCTGGGTGTGACCCAAAAAGCCAAAAAAAAAAAAAGAAATATAACCGAGGGACTGGACTGGAGCAATAGCACAGCGGGCAGGGCATTTGCCTTGCACGCGGCCGACCCGGGTTCGATTCCCAGCATCCCATATGGTCCCCTGAGCACTGCCAGGAGTAATTCCTGAGTGCAGAGCCAGGAGTGACCCCTGAGCATCACTGGGTGTGACCCAAAAAGCAAAAAAAAGAAAAAGAAAAGAGAGGAAAGAATGAGAGAGACAGAGAGGAGAGAGGAGAGAAAGGGAGGGAGGGGGAGGGGAGGGGGAGGATATAGAGAGGGAGGGGTAGTGGG